GGGGGTGTAATTTTTGCTGTAAACACACCTCATATGTGACTGTTCCTCTGCAGGCTCTTCAAACACCGGGTCACACGCTCTGAGTGATGGTTGTTTTATTCTTTTATTCAACTGTCATTGGTACTGGTTATTTGGGGCGTCCAAACCCAAATATTAAAACTGCAAGCTAAGAGAGCAGCAACACAGCAGATCCTTTGTAAACAATTTATTATTATTTTCTACCTCAGTTACTTACAGGAAAAAAAGTCATAAAAAAGAAAAAAAAAAAGAAAAAAAAGAAAAGCACAGATGGACTATTTACAAAAAATGAGAAAATTCACAATAGCCAAAATGTTTGCAAATCATGCACACTAAGACAAGTTCACAAAAGCAAAGCAATTCATAGCAAAAAAACCCAAACAAAATAATAAGAAGCCATACAGATTAAAAAAAGCTATTGCCTGCAGAAAAGTCAAAAGAAAACTACCCAATTATTACATCAAGCATCTTTAATGAAATGAACAGCACAGCCGTGGATTGTAGAGCCTTTGACACTGACATTTTAAACAAGTGGATTAACAAACATTAAAATGCATTACAGTTCTACTGTAAGCATGCAACGTACTTCTCACAAACTTATCACATGGGCAGAAACACTTCAAGAGGAGCAGACTTTAAATACAATGTGTGTTTTCTACCCAAAAGTCCAGAATCCGGTCTTGTTAAAGCCAATGGCAGGAGCTTTGCAGCTCCCCTGCGATTTGGGTGGAGATGAAGAGGTGCAAGGTGCAGCTTAAGCAGGGAAAGCTTGGCCAGAATTTAGGAAACTCCCCCGTGATTTGCAAGCCAAGTCTGGAAGGAGAAGCAGGTGCAGGAGCGTGCGGGAGCAGCGCCGGCTGCGGGGCAGGGGCGGTCAGAGCTTGGGAGCCCAGAACCCCACAGTGGTTTGGGTTGGAAGGGACCTTAAAGCTCCCCTCGTTCCCAGGGCAGGGACACCTTCCACTAGAGCAGGCTGCTCAGAGCTCCACGGGCTCTGGGAGCGGGGCAGGGATCACTGGGGGGGCAGGAGCTGCCTCGGCCCCTCTCTTGGTGGCATCTCCCCGTGGCCTCTGTGTGATTGGGGCAGCTCTCCAAGAGCCCCCGTGCCAAGGGAATGGAATGAGGACACGGGTGGTCTGTGGCAGCCATCGGGTCGCTGATTGGAATAATTACACCCTGCGCTGCTCGTCATCCCAGGGACAGGAGACACCCGTCTTGCTCCACCCCGGATCCCATTTGTGCTACTGCTGGGTGTCCCCACGTTAAAAAGCGCCAGTCGCTCTCTTTGGGGCTGTTTGTGAGACCCAATCGACCCAATCGCCCTTCCCACTTCATTGATAAAACCATTTCTAGGAAGTTTGTGAGAAGTCATGCCTTCGGAACGCCCCCTGACCCCGTCCTTGTGAGTTACATTCCAAGTGGGCATTAAAAACTCATAACAAAGCAGAGGAAAAAAAAAAATTAAAAAAAATTAAAAGCAAACTCAAAGCAGTGAGGATATGGAGCCTTTAAAAAAATAAAAATAAAATAAAAAGTCCAGTCAATCAAACCAGCCAGTAAGAGCAGCAATTTTTCAGTGGACAGTGATATTAAACATGGACCACCCAGGCTTTCTCTGTCTCTCTCTCATTAGCACTGTAGTAAACCCCGATTAATTTGTTATGCATCTTTAAGAACTAGTTGATAAAAATTATGTCTTGTGAAATCGGCAAATAGTCTGCAAAGTGAAATAAGAACAGAAATTAATAGATTAAACTGAAAAGATAAGTCCCAGAAATAAAAAATAAAAAAAAAAAAATAAAAAAAGAGACACAGAAAGGGAGTGATTGCAATTAAAATAAAAGAGGCAATGTATTGCATGAGGAAGGGATGGAGGGAATAACGGGACTGGAGGGGACAGAGCAGTCGCCAAAGGGTTGCACGTGTCTTGTCCGTGGAGTCAGGGGCTGTGGGACAGCCTGTGAGGGGACCCTGCCCGCAGCCCCAGCAGCGCCGTGCCCACCACGGACATGGGAACGGGAATGCAAACAGGTGGGGCGTGGCATTTGTACCTCCTTTCACTTGGACAACAGCAAATACCATCAGCACAGTTCAACCAGATGGGAATTGCCCTTTTTTTGGTTTTAATGTACTGAAATAGTAAGTAGGGCAGTGTGAGCTGCGCTGGGACAGACCAAGAGCCCAGCGGGACAGTGCCTGTGCCAGCCCAGCTCTGCCCCAACACCCTCCGGGGTGACCCCAGCCCGGCCCCTGCCCAGCACACGAAGGGGCACCTGCAGGGAGAACACACTGCACTGTGTCAAACACACTGCCAGGCCTCCTCCCAGAGGAACCCCAGGAGTGGGACTGTACATTTACATGCACATTTACATCGACCACGTCTGGGTGTCGCGGAGCCAGGAGGCAGAGGAAGCTCTCAGACCAACAGCCCAGGATGCTCCTGCAGAAACAGCTGAGAATTTCTCTCTCCAAATCACAATATTAAGATTCTGGACCTGACAACTTACTAAAAAAAGCAGATTTTGGATTCCTCTCCATTGTTTTGCACGTGCCTGTCCCACACTCCAAGACACAGTCGTACCACGAGCCCCACAAGCACTTCTGCAAGTGCCAAAACGCATGAAGGGGAAGGGTCAGCACATCCCTGTCCTCAGCTCCTGCCCTGCTCCCAAATGGCTCCCTGACACCAGGCTCTCTGCCCCAAACACCTGCTCCAGCAAGTGGGACACCCCATCCTGCTGCCCAGCCCTGACCCCTCATGCTGTGCTCTGGCCAGGAGGCTCCCATGCCCTGTGCCGCTCTGCCAGGCCATGCTCCAAATCATCTGAGAACCCCCCAACAACTCTGATAAGGTTCTGACTGCTAAGGGAGAATGATCTGAGCGGGAGTGGAGCAGGGGCAGAGCTCTGGGGCAGGGAAAGCCAACAAGGTGAGACAGGACCCTGAGCATGTCCCAGCACTGCCCAGCTCCCGCAGGCTCCCCATGGCCCACAGCTGGGGCACCTTTTCAGTGCTGACAACCCACTTGGATCTTTTTCTCCAGGTTCCATCTCTGCAGGAGAATGAAAATAACCAGGCAGTAAATGGAAGGCCTGCTTTGGGAAAACAAGGCCCTTAACAAAAATATATCTAAGGAGGGCTCGAGTCGAAGGGTGCCTTTGCTGCCAGGCAGCAGACACGTTCGTTTTAGACGTTTATAATTAAATTCATCTAAGCTCCGATGATTTCCGTCATTAAACCTATCAAAGGAGTCTCTCATTCAGTGCCTTCATACGTATCAGTTGCCACAAGGAATCGTGAGGACCAGGAGGAGAAGTGTGAGACAAGACACAAGCGCCTGCTGAAGCCTCCTCCTCACATCCAGCTCCCAGCTGCAATCCTGCAGGACTGGACTCTCCCCCTGGCTCCAGTGGAGCAGCAGTGGGTTCTCCAGGGGGTCACCTGCCTTGTCCCCACTAGCACCGTGTCACCCATTGCTGCTGGCCCTCCCTGCCCAGCACTCACCCCAGCAGCTCCACTGACACCCTGGTTGTTTCGGGCCTGGCCCAGGAGGGTGCAGCACAGACGGGAAGAGATGGCTGAGCTTTTGGTAGGATTCAGACAATAAACCCTCACAGCGCTGCTACCCTTGGTGTTATCGGTCCTGCAAAAACCAGCTGCACAAAAGCCCCATCCCAAGGACACTGCTTGTCCTACAGATGATGACAATCCACATTCTTCCACAGCAGGGTCTCATCCTAACGACCCAGGGCCAAACACAAGGCTCTGTGTCTGCTCAGGTAGAGCCAAGCATCCATCCACATCCCCACCCATCCTAGAGGACCTTCCCGTGAGCATGCTGGTTTTCCTCCTGCCCTGCTGTTGCTCACTACAGGGGGTTCACTCGGTTTCCCCATCACCCCAAGCTCCCACCCCGTTGTTCTGAGCCCCAAGGAGCGGGGCAGGGGGTGGTGGGGCTGCAGCAGGTGAGCCCCTGTGATGAGGGTGCTCATGAATTTACAGCAGGGCCCGCGGGGGTCTCGCGGTGGCCAGGCAGGGCTTCAGCCACAAACACAGCAGTGCTGCTGGGCTGTTCCAGCTGCTGGGAAAACCCCAGGGTGGAAGGGATGGAGAATCCCTGTCCTGTGTGGTGTCAGTCCCACCGTGGATGTGCTGGGAAGGACAAGGGGCTTTGGATAGGCTTTGCTGGAGGCCCCACCCCTGGAAGCGTTCGAGGTCAGGCTGGACACGACTCCGAGCAACCTGATCTAGTGGAAGATGTCTCTGCTCACTGCAAGGGGGTTGGACTAGATGGCCTTCGAAGGGCCCTTCCACCCCAAACCCCTGTGTTGTGTGGTTCTCTGATTTATCTCCTCCTGACCCCGCTGTGCCGCGCAGCCACCCCGGCCCCGGCTACGCCAAGGACAGGGGGAACCAACCAGCGCCAAACTCCACCACCAACACGCCAAACTACTCCTGTGAAGGACCCCCGAGACCCCCCCCCAGAACACAGGAAGGCTGGACTTTTCACTCCGAAGCTGAATATTCACTTACCACAGGACAGCACGGGAAGGTGTGTGCGGGTCCCTGTGTGCGTGTGCGTGTCTGTGTGTAGCTCTACAATATATATGAAAGGAAAAACCCATCAAAGGGAGGGTAACAGCTCTTCGGTGATCTCTCTTGCTTTATGTTTTAATTTAAGAAGTTTGTTTTCAAATAACCAGTACCAATTTACACGTTAGCAAAAAATGTATTTAAAATATGTCTCTATAAATATCTATTTTAAAATAGTAAAAAAAAAATAAAATAAAAATTTGCTGTTGTGTGAGATGCTCCCTGCAGACTTGCCTGTCTCAGCTTCCAGCTACGGATTAAAAAAAAAACAAAAAAAAAAAACAAAAAAAGAAAACAAACAAACAAAAACTACCCAAAAGAAAAAAAAAGGGAAAAAAAAAGAAGGAAAGAGGGGAAATAAAGCAAATCTGCAAATGAAATGTACATACCTGGGAACTGATAACTGTAACTTGGGGCAAATCCAGGATATCCTCGGCCATACGTCGCCACAAAATTTGGGTAACCTACACCACAGAAACGTAAAAGAAAAGAGAAAGGGAGAGAGAGATTTTGAGGATTAATGAAGAGGGTATTTTTTAAATACAATACACAATGACAGGAAGGATGGGTGAGACTTGATTTTACAAAAGGTATTAAAAAATCAGATTTATTCTGCTCATGCCAAACTGCAGAGAGGTTTCATCATTACCCTGAATAGAAACATCTAGAGCTGGCCCAGCTCCGAGCAGGAGCCCTGTCACTCCGGTAATTAACATGCACTTTGGTGTCTGGAGCCCAAGGACTGTGCATACTTGTTAGCTGGAAGAGTAAATGCCAAATGCTAAGGCTAAACACATAACACGGGTTTGCTCTGACATTTGGAGAGCTTACAATGAATGTACTTTGCTTCAGAGCTATTGACAGTTGGAGATTAAGGTAGTAGTAATTCTTTATCCTGGGAGTGTGAAGGACAACAGTTAACACATCAAAGAGTTTCTGCAGCAGCAGAAAGGAGCCAGGGAGTCAAAGAGCTTTTAATTTTTCAGGAAAGTAAAAGGAAGCTGCGCGAGGCTCTTCCCAGAGCCGTTTCTGAGGTAGAGCAGCTACGCCGCTGACCCCCGGCAGCTCCAGAAGGGTTATTAGGAGAAAAAAACCACCTGAGATCATTCTGCTCATAAAGACACCTCAGTTAAGGCACAGAGTGGTAACTCTGCCCACTGGAATGAGCAGCTGGAATGTGAGGCAGAGCTCAGGGAGGGTGTTGATGGACACTGGTGCCACCACTCAGCTGCCAGCCCTGCGGTGCTTGGCCAAGGGTCTGCCCTCTTTATGTGGTGCTGGGACCACAGGCAGTGACAGCCAGGCCAGGGGAAGGGGCTTCACTCTCCTGCTTGTGTACATGCTGGAGGTCCCAGCAGTCCCTGACTGTGTCCTGGTGGCAGCAGCCCTGGGGTCACACACTGGGACTCTGGTTTTAACCTCCCCACCCTCACACAGAACAGCTGTTCTCTGTGGTCCCACCGCATCTGTCTGCTCTGACCAGCACAGCCCATGGCCCGAGGTGTCCTGCACACTCAGGAGGTTTCCTAGAATTCTCACCTCCCACTGATCCTCAACCTTTCCTCCCTCAGTTTTCTTGAAAACAGGCACCGCTCTTTGCAATTCCAGCACACTTAATGCAACATCCCTGCCGATCCTCAGCGCCAGCCCAGACCTCTCCAGATCAAGAAACCATCAGGGAAAGTTTGCTCCCACTATCTAAAGTCAGTGGGAATCTTGGCAGCAGCTGGGCTGGAGGCTGAGAACCTGTTCAGCAGCCGAATGGCTCTTCTGGGGGGCTCCTACCTCTGCTTTTATTTATCCTTTAATACTCTCATCCATCACACGACTATTTTCCTGCTGCAGTAAGCCCCTCCATTTCCAATCACATTCACATATACATATAATGTACTATTAATCATAATCTAAACCTGGAAGATAAAAATGCTTGGATGAATTCTGATGATGGGATTAAGCAGTGCCAAGCCAAGGCAGCCCTGTGATGCCCGGACAGCACATGGTGCTCTCAGCGATGTGTACACACCGCTTAGCCCCTGACTATTTATTTCACAGCTCAACAGCTGCATTCCCTTAGAAACTAATCACCTCTGTCATTAAATCAGATCTTTCAGAGTTAAGCTTTACAAACCTCTTTTCCTTTCTATTTTTTTTTTTAAACAACCCTATTGATAAATGGATTGTTTGTTAAGTAAGTAGCGCCATTAACAGCACCGCTGAAAAATCGCTCTGCGGCGTCCGACCGCAGCCCCTCTCCTTGCCAAGGGAAAGAATGAAGTTCTATTTTGATTCACACAATACTGAAGCAGATTTGTCAGCCCCGTGACTGTTGGGGTTCAGGGGACTGATGTGCTGGGCAGCACCTGAGGTCTGCAGGTCGGTGCCTGTGGCCCTGGCTGGATTGGCACGGTGGTGGATGGCAACTGCCCACAATGGTTTCGGATGCCACCTCATCTGCTGCCCGCCCTGGGATGGTCCTGCCTCCACCCCAGGGCAGTCCTGCCGCAGCCCCACTCTCCCTGGCCCCACATGGCTGTGCCCGATGGCTGCGGCACCAGCCGAGCTGCCCGGGGGCTCTGCCGGCACCGCCAGCGCTCAACGCTCTCTAAGTCAGGCAGATGAAATCATAAATTTATAATACAACATTACTTCAATTTTCCTCTTCATTTACTGCTGCAGTGCCCGGCTCTGCTCTAACGACTCGAAGCCTGATCCACACAGAAATTGCCTGGCTGAATATCAATAGCGCGTTAACGCCGCGCCCACGTGGATGCTTCACCAAGCCAAATCATGGCCATGCTGACCTACCCAACATTCCCATCAGGTGCCATCCTCATCCCTCACTGGGCATTGAGCAGTTGATTTGCTCTGGTAGTCCTGGGGAATGATCAATCCCTCTAACTATCCCTCGCTGGCAAACCAAAACTCCAAGTTTTGTCGGGATCCCCTCCTCCGAAGCAAGACCCTCCTGCCCTTGGAAGCAGAACTCAAATCAGCAACCAAACCACTTTCACACCTCCACCTCCACCTGGCTCCTGCCCAGGCTATGGAAATGTCTTTTCATTTCAAAATTTGGTGGTCTGAGAGGTACAAAGCTCATGCTCCATATGTGGGAACACCGAGCACATCAAGGAATCAAATGCTCTAATAAATGCAAGAAAATTATTGTCTCCAAATGCTGCTCTGAGGAACCCCAAATCGTTTGCAAGGGAAGGCAGGGTCTCCCCACCAAAGCACAGTCCCACACCGCAACAGCAATCCTGAGGGTCTTCCCAAAAGAAACGTGCTGTGACCTTGATAGAGGTACCTGTGGCATGGAGGAATGAAAGCCAAAAATAATCTCCTATAGACACACGGGCAGTCACGTCCTGGGAAGCAGCTAGAGGGGAGAAACACATCCGCTGGAGAAGCTTGTCCCTTGGCCCTGGGCTGACCTGTCTCCTCTCGCAGGACTCAGGAGTGATGTGACTGATGGCAGCTGTGCCCATCGGCGGCGGGTGCTGCTGCCAGAGCCCGCGGTGCTGGAGCACCGTGCCAGCCTCCAGGGCAGCCTGCGCTAACCGAGGGCTCCCCATCAGAACCTGCCTCAGAGGCAGCTGCTACTCCACTGAACAGCGTCTGATGGAAAAAGGAATGACTTTCTTTGAAGGGCACAAGCTTCTTTTATGCATGAGCTCAGCCTACCTAGACTGAGCGTGTGCAGGAACACACAGCCCTGGTAGAGACCTTCCCAAACCGGGGATCCTACCGGGCATCGCTCCGGCACTCCAGGGGGGTAAGCTTTGGGAGACGAGTGCTCCCATCTCTGGAGGGATTTGCAAGTTAAAGGAGCCCAACTTTAACATTAAACACCAGTAAGATGCCCACTGCCAGGAGAAATGAGTGTGGTGGGGCCTCAGCTCAGGGTCACATCCAGATCTGGCTGTCACCACCGGGACCACTGCCATGGTGGCTGCCACATCCCAGAGAGCAGCTTCAGATGGGAGGGCAGACAGAGACCACTTCCTCTTCATGTTGCTTTCTTCTCTTCTCTCTTCTTTTCAAGTTTGCAGGCACAGACCCAAACAGAGGGCAAAAAGCTGTGGGGCAACATGTGACACCATCATGTCCTTGGGTGACAGGGCTCCTGGACTGCACGCCAGGGCCAGCTGACAGCGGTGAGGGTCCAGGCACAGGGTGAACTTCTTGGTCACCAAACTGCTCCCACTCAGCCACAGACGTGTGCAGGGAGGGACACGGGACCTGTTCACGAGCATCCCCAGGGCTGGGGAGCAGCTCTTCCTGACAGGGAAGCCGGGCTGACAGAGGGAGGGAGATTGGTGGAACCAAAACTGCCCCGACCGCTCCTCGTGCAGAGAGGCTCATTAACGCCCCTGCTCTCCCCCAGACCGTGCGTGTCCCACGAGCAGCCCGAGCCCCAGACAGCCCAGAAGTGTTCCTGGCAGACGGCTCAGCCTGCCCGCGCTCTCCGAGTCAAAAAATCCTTTCAGAAGAACACTTTAATTTTGCTCCAATCAACCAAATCATCACAGAAGCGGCTGCCTGCGCACCTTTAGACCCCGGCTGCTGCAGGCTCCTTGGGGAGGCTGTGATTAATGAAAAAGACCAACTTCCTTAATAGCTTTGGAGGGAGTCGCTCCCTGCTCCTTCCTTTGGGTTGTCTCGTGCGTTCGTTCCTCTGATTCCCTCCTCTGCCCGTGAATAGCAGCTGGAGAAGGTGACCTTGAACAAGGGCTTCTGCAAACAGGTACAAAAGTCCTTCCCGAGCAGCCCCACTTGCTCTGGTTCGGGCCAGCTGGGCACGGAACAGGAGGAATGGGATAGGGCTGACCCGGCCTCCTGAGACCCCGCAGAACACTCTGCTGTGGCAGACACTGCCTCTGGCGTGATGGGATTCTGTGCCTTGTCGTCTGATGGGTTAATTACACCCCTCTCCTCATGGGGACGGGCCTGGCAGCCTTTGAAATGGGGGGTTCTGATGGCCATCCAGGCAGCTCTGCTCTCCCACGCTGCAATCTCCTTGTTTAGCACTTAATTATTTAACACGGTGCCACCGCAGCAAGCAGGAATTGGGAAGATGAAACACCATCTAGAGTGGATAATGAAGCACCTGGCTTTCACCACGGATCAATCATCAGTGCTGAGCAAGTCACCCCAACTGGAAATGCAGGGAGAGCGCGGTGTGAGCCCTGCTGGAGCAGGGCCGGGTGGGTTGGCCCAGACCCACCACTGCAGCAGGGCACAGATGGGGCACCTGTTGGCAGGCCCCATCTCTTCCTCTGTGCACATCCACCTGCTGAGGCCTTCTTCCCTTACTTCTCACGCCTTGAAACAGCCACTTCCCAGAGGGGCAGCTCCGGTGGGAACGACTGCTGCTTCACCTGAGCGCTGAATTTTCCCTTCAGGACACTGAGGCGAATCTGGCTCCATTCACCCCCTGCCCGGCCACAAGGAGAAGGGCTGAGGCCACGTGGTGGGCACAAGAGGGATGATGATGCTGTGGATCTTCCTGGCTTGCCAGGGTGGCGTGGACTCTCTCCTCCTGCAGCTGGGGGGACTGGCCAGCACGACGGCCCCACCACCTCCACCAGCCCGACCTCGGGCACCGCCGGCGGGGAAGCAAAAGCAGAAATCAAGTACATTTGCTCGAGCACACTGAGAACACACAGGTAACGAAATCATGGACTGACTAGAGCAAGATAAATATTTTAAGCAGAAAATGTAATTTCCAAACACTATGGGGCAGGGTGGCGGTGGAGCGTGGGGACAGCAAAACAGATGATCAGCTGAAATAACCCAATTACACGTCCCAGAAATGGATCGCTCCAGCCACACGAACAGAAGTACTATTAATTCAGAGATAAAGCAAACATGGCAGGGAGTTTTTCCTATCAAATCAAGCGGTGCTTGGAGTCAGACACCTCAGCACAACAGCCTGATCCTCACAGGAACCAAGTCCTCTGAGCTGATGCCCACCCCAGGGGCTTTGGGGTCCTCCAGCATCTCAGGCAGCCCCCGGACCTGCTCGGCAGAGCTCAGGGCAACCCAGCTTCCAAGGGCTTTTGTGCTCAGTTTGTGGGATCATCTAAACACAGGACAGGAAACTCAAAGCACCCCAGAGAGGCTACACACCAGGGACATGAGCCTGGGAAAGGCTCTTTGCTGCCAGGGGACACCTCCAGATGCCCCCTTATTCCCACAAGTTTCACGGACACAGCACGTGACAACCGAGGGGAAGGCCAGGGATACAAAGCAGAAAGTTGAAAATATGTGGGGTTTTACAAAAGAACATTGGCAATGGATTTGCAGCATTTTGGCTGAGGAGAGAGAGTATCCAGAGGTTGTCACATTATATACAAAGAACAACTATCTAGGCAGAAACAAATGAGAACCAATTATAACTAAATAGACCTCGCGCACAAATAGAATTTTGCCATTAAATATCGTTTATCCCATTTAATTAGTATTTTCTGGACACAATACTCAGGACTAAAATACCATTCCATCTCCTTGAAACTTGTAATTATTGTTGCGACCTGTCCTGTTATGCATCTCCCCGCTTCCTCCATCCATGTCACTTAAGAACCAGCAAGATTTTCAATTATCTATGCTGAACTGTCAAAGCTACCTTTAAAAGAAGGGGAATAATGTGTGACTCAATTCCTCTAAAAAAGGGGAGAGATCATTTTTAGTCAGAATGAACACACTGCATCTTTCATCATTCTATTTTTGCGAGTAAGAGTAAAACAGGCTATTTAAAACATCCATTTAAATGCAAATTTTTTTATATTCCAGGCGGGGGGGAGTTAATCATTTACCACAGACAGGATTATTTCCTCCACTCCACCCCTGCTAAAGTTTCAGCCTCGCACCCACACAGGTGCAGGGGATTTGCTCACCCCTACAGTTTAAGGGTTTGGAAATCAGGGAGACAACAGGGGAGCCGCCGGCCCCGGGAGCTGCGCGGTGGCTCCGGCACTTACCCAACATTCCCATCCCTAGCATAAAAGCGTCCATGGTATACGGTAATCCACGTGCCCTTCCTCTCGTCCCTGGTGGAAACATCACTTCTTTAGGTTGTGCTTTCTTACATTCTACCTATTGAGCAGAAACATGTACAAATGAGATGCAAATGAATTCCATGTAAATGTCAAACGCAGAACTGATCTACTTAAGGGGGGAGGTTTATTTTTAGCGTCTGCCTCCCCACACCTCCTCCCCCTCAAAGGTGAACTTCCAGAATAGCATAACCAGATTTAAAAGAGCAAACGTGTATGTCTCTTTAACCACCCACTGCACCCCCCACCCCCCTCCAAAGATGACAGAAATGCTGATTTAAGAAGTTCCGTGTTCCTGAAAGGGAAACCGGCACTCGTGGGACGGGATGAATGGAGGGAGGGCTCCAGCACAGCTCCCTTGCAATCGATGACAGAAAACGACTCCCAGTGATCATTACAAAAAGCTCCTTTTAAAATAGGAATAAAGAATCAATATTTCTGCCCAGCAGAAAATTTCTGTAAACCCTATTAATAAAGGATCTGCATTCTTCCAGTTACTCCCGCTGCCTTTGGAAGTTTCTTAATGCCTCTGGAAGCACAGAGCGATCCCTGTGTGAGATGCTGATCCAGTTCCACGGGCAGCAGGACATGTAGGATATCCAGCACCCCGAGACACCCCCTTTCTGGCCAGGAAAAGGGAGAAATAAAGCAACTTTCCACAATGCCAGCTCACCCCTCCAGCTGACTGCCTCCCTGGTCCCCTTAGCACTGGTGCTACAGTCGCACCAGTCAGCTGGTTTGGAGCTAACTGGAGTTAGCTGAACCCATTGCTGTGGCTCCACACCTCAGTCCGTGCTCCCAGCAACAGGATGATGTGCAGCCACACAGCCCAGAGCTGCCTGGGTGGGGGGACACCCCACCTGCACGGTTTGCACGATGAGCATCGCTTGTCTGAGAGCTGAATCCACAGGTTTGAGTTTTGTGCCTCTAATTTTGCTTTTCAACCAGTCCCTCGACGCTCTTTGCTTGCTTACACTCCCCCAGCCCTTGCCTGGCCATTCCAGAGTGGAAGCAGGGCTCCCAGCAGACATGCTGGCACAGCCACCGTGCAGGGGCTGGGAAGGGGCTATTTGTTGTGGAGGGTTGGTTCCAGCTCTCCCAATCCCTCCACCCCTGGCACAAGGTGTCCCACATGAGCTGCTCCAGGCAAACCCAGGATGTGGGATAACATGGATCACTATCCTGGTGCTCAAGGAACTGGAACCTACTGAAAATTGCATAAACCTGGGATTGTCCCTGATGGGGTTGCCTTAGAACAGGCGGGTGGTTTTCCTGAGATGATGAACACACGGTCCCTGACTGGGCTGTTGGGCACCAGGATAGTGAGCTGTGTTATCCCACACCCCTGTCCATGGCAGGGGGTGGAACAAGATAAACTTTAAGGTCCTTTCTGACTCAAAGCATTCTGTGATTCTATGAATCACCCCAGAACCCAGGGACACGGCGAGCTCAGAATCCTGAGCACCAGCACCAGCCTCCCACCGCCCCCACACCAGCACTGCAACCTCCTCCCCAGCTCTCCTCTGCTGATTTTGAAACAGGGGATCACTGCACAGGAGTCTGCCAATCTGACTCCCCCACTCAGATGACGGGGGGAGCCCCACAAGTGCCGCTACATTTCACAGCCACATCTTTGGGGACGGCCACCGCTCCCACCGTCACGGCAGCACCGCTTACACCTCGCAGCCAACAGCACTGCACAGCCAGGATGACAAAACCCATCCAGGCTGGATGGATGGACAATTAACAGGAAAATGAAGTTGGGATTAGCGCTGTTAGAAACAATAACCCAGTAATTAGCTTTTGCAACCACAACCCAGCCCACCGCTGCTCTCTGCAAGCCTGGCATCGCTCCTGATTCCACAGCACACGAGGATGCAAAGGCGATGGCAGTGAGCTGCAGAGGAGTTTTAACCAGGATTTAAAGGGGAACAAAAAGTCACCAGTAGGAAGGAAAAATAATTTCTAAGCGTCTGTAAACAAGCACACCCCACATGGAGGGCGAGAATATTCTGTTAGCCAGCAGAGACTCTCTCCCCACGGGAGGGATGACATGTGGGACACGGGACCGGGAGCCTGGCCCTGCTCTGCTGTCCTGGGAGAAGGGACTGCCTGACTCCAGCCCAGGCAGCTCACCCTGGGGAGACTGTTGCACTCCACAGGCAGCAGTGCCAGACCGTGAGGTGCTCTGGGAAGCTGCCCACACACCAGCCCATCAGCAAACCGGGACGATACCAGAAGAGGAGGTGAAGCAAAATGTGAGTGGATCCGTAGGGGGCTTTGATGGTGCCTCGTCACCAACAGCAAAAGCAGAAAAAAAGGGAGCTTGCTGCTCTTCTGCCAGAATCCAGCTCTGTCCTTCATGGGGAAGGGATAGAGATGGCCATAATCACCCTAAAGCCACAGTTACTGCAAGGGGAAACCCTGGAGGCAGCAGGGATCGTGTGCCAGGATGTGTAATGGGGCTTCTCCAAGAGGGAATGGATGCAGATTTATGAGTCAGGGCTCAGCTCCTTATCAAATCACCCCCGAGAGCTGCCCGATGAGAGTCTTTGGATATAAATCTGGACCTCACTCAAACTTTCAGTTCAGTGTTTCTGGGCATCTTAATAATTTCCAGATTTTTTTCCACCTTCCTGTACAAGGATGTGCTGCACTTTCAGCAGCCCAACAAAGAAAGGTTTAACTCTTAGGCTAAAAAAAAAAAAAAACACGAAAAAAGGCAGGGAAACTAAAATTCACTATTTTTGTTTAGTCTAGTTTGGAGAATTAGCCTTACACTGGGGTACTCCTGGGTCAAGCAGAACAGTCGCAGCCACGGGAACCCAGGAGGGCTGAGCCGGGGAGTGAAAAGCCTCTTATACCCGGCCAACAAAACAGGCTGTCAGCTCTCAGCCCAGGATGTCTCACAAACCCTGGCTAACAGCTTTCCAGGGAAACCAGGGCTATTTTCAGGAAAGCAGAATGCACAATATCCACAATGTACAAGCCCCCATTGAACCACCCACAGACAAGGCGACTTTGTCGTGCCAGAGACGTGTGATTTGCAGTTTGTTGGGGTTTGCTCACCTTGGGGACACCATGTCACTCACACCATGGCAAGCTGCACCAGGCAGCAGCAGAGAGGCTGTAAGCTTATTTTAGAAAATGCCTTAGATCGTGGGTCTGTTGATGATTTAGATCACTGATCAAAGGCAGGGCTTGGAACCAGCTGAACTGGAACAGGCACAGGCACGGGTTGCCCAGAGAAGCTGTGGCTGCCCCATCCCTGAAGTGTCCCAGGCCAGGTTGGACGGGGCTTGGAGCAACCTGGGGTAGTGGAAGGTGTCCCTGCCCAGGGCAGGGGGTGGCACTGGATGGGCTTTAAGGTCCCTTCCAGCCCAAACCAGTCTGTGACTGACACACCTGAAATGGCACCACACAGCTCGGGGAGAACCTGAAGAGCACCAATGCACTAAAAAAACCCCACAACAAAAGAAACTCAAACCCCACAAAATACCACCCTGAGAGAGAGGAAGAGCCACAGGTGCTGGGCAGTGTCAGAGCCTGTTCTAGAACAGCCCAACATTTCTGTCAGCTGCTCCAGAGCTTGACGTGAGATCCTGACTGCAGGCTTGGCTCATGGCCCCTCTCAGCAGTGTGTGTCCCACTGTACCCTGACTCCATCACAGCGGGATCCAGGGGAAAAGAAATTACTCCATCACATTTCTTTTCCAGCCACTTCTGCACCTTGTTAGAAAACCAGGTGTCTTTGCAAAGCTGCCTGCTCCTGCCAAAGGAACAATAATCCAGGGACAGCTTGTTTGGGTTTATTGTCCCCCCGCAACGCTTGGAGCATCTTTGGCCTCCCACGTAAATTCCGAGTTCCATTTATTAAATACCTCCCTGGCATTTTCCTTTCACTTCCCCACTGCTCGTTTAATATTACAGTTGACATTCTAAGCTTTACGGATGGCAACAGAAGTAGAATGGATGAGCTAAAAATAGCCTGCCAGGGAGACAGGAGCTGGAAATAGGCTGGGGAGCAGCCACCCCCTGCCCTTTGCTTGCCCCTGCATTTTGGGAAATGACAGAGGTCAGCACACGAGGAAGAGCAAGCTCAGGGCGAGTCGGTG